GCCGCCGGCCTCCGGGACGCTGACTCCGCCAACGAGTAAGATGGCTTGTGTTGTCCTGAGCGGCGGTGGGGTGTACATAGATGCGAACGGGTGCTGAGGCAGGAGAGCCTCCTTTTCTGGTGCTAACCGCCTTCCCCTGCACCCTCGGAAGGTTTTTGCAGCCTCTGGTAATGGTTTTACCTGCCTGTCAGACCGGGGAGCGCCCGTCTGAAGTTCAAGTCCCTCTGGTTGTCATTAAATAGGTAAGGAGGGCTTAGAAATGCTCATGGCCACGTCGTAAACCAAGAAATTGAAAAGTCATCACCATGTAAATAAGGGTTTCTGTTCACGTGTATGGTGTCGTAAGAAAACTGAAAGTTTTCTGGTAGGATAAGAATGAATCCGTGTGGGATGTATTTATGTTCATAGGCCATGTTGCGAGCTTGACACTTCTTTCCTGTTTACCTTCACCTTAATGTGTTAGCTGCTGTGATGCTTGGCCAGACTTAAGGAGAGCTATTGTTACATTTGTTTTAATCACAGAATCATAGAACAGTTTGGGTTGGAAGGGACCTTAAAAGATCATCTATGCAGCTTAAGAAGCTTTGCAAGTTGCCTGAAATTTGATGGAAGTGATTGTAGCAAGTTAATTTTTTTAAAGGAGGTGAACTTCAGGTGCCCCCTGTCTTCTCCTTTGAAATGCTTGGACTGCGAGGGTCAAAAAGCATCCCATTTTACAGAAAGAGAGAAAGACTTACAAGATCCAAATATCTGCTACAGGCAGTGTCAAGAAGCTGCAGAAAACTACCACGGCCCTGTTGTATTAAATTTAGTTGAAATGTTTCTTGCCCCACAGGTTTGCAAGTAAGGCAGTACGTGGACCTGGGTTTAGATGATGCACTGTGTTCAACATTCAGAAGCATTTCAACCCCTTTTATCCCCGACCAAAGTCAAAACATGAATACAGATTTCAAAGAGGCATATCTTGTGCAAAATTGCTATTTGTAAATAGAGGCTCGCTGATTCAGTGAGTAGGATTCTCATTCCAAATTAGAGATCCAGGTGCTTATACAGCAAAGCTCCATGAGCCCATAAGTAGGAGTGATCAGACTTGTTGACAGCTGTTGTGAAGAACCCTGAAAGAACAGCTGAATGCAGACCTCTGGCTTCTGATGTTAGCTTCTTCAATGCCAAGGCAAATAACAGCTTGGCAGTTCCATTCAGAAAGCCTTTGCTGCATAGAGTGATATTAGCTTGACTGAACAATGAATTGCTTTTTATTATAATTTATCTTTTGCATTATTTAAAGCGTATTTGAGATGCACTTTCGTGTCAGTTTCTAGATTCATTGTCCTCTGATTTCAGAAGGTGTCAAGAGACCTCTTAGGCCACCTCTTTCAGCCAGCTGCTTCCCCTGCAAATGGTTAAGGTTACTTAAAGTGTATAGGATGCAACTTTTTCAGATTCTAGCTGGAAATTTTCTTTGCTTTGATAAAATGGTCATGTTTACTTACAAAGTCAGTGATGGGGAATAGAGCCATGATTTCTGCATGCTACCTTTCTGTGTGCAAACATATTTGAAACGCATTCCGATAATGATACTGATGTTACAGGCATTAGTAAGAATGCATCTGGGAATAATATTCTTGTTACTGATTTGGATGTATTGTTCTTCTGGCAAAGTGATGCAAATACAGATCTGGTCGTATTAAGTTTGAAGTGCCCTAATTAAAATGTCTGTACCAGTTGTATTAGACTTTGTGTATATGAAAGAGATACATATTTCTGTTTTTAATCATAAATATTACTGATTAAAGTATTTTTTTCCAGTAACCCCTACTGTTAATGGTCAAGTTGAATGTTACCTGCCTTCTTGTTTTCTTAGGATGTCTTAAATTAATACTTCAACTTTTGCTCAGCTTTCGCTTGTCTGTCATCCTTTGGGCATTCTTTTGGTAGTTTGACCTTCCTGTATACTTCTTTGAAGAACTCTTAAATCCCAAGTGATGTTTCCTCATATAGTAGTTTCTACAGGCTGCTATTTGGCTGTGTCAGCCTGTGCAGGCAGTCAGGCTTCTTCCAAAGGTGGCTGCCCATCTTCCTACTTCCCCCTGCCCTCCCTCCCTGCCCTGCACCTTCCCTCTGGCAGAGAGAAGTGTGTGTCTGCAACTATTCAAAAGTATTGCCTGTATAGTAAACTGATGGGTTTTTACATTTGTACTTATGTTAAGAACTCTGTAGTTCTTCCTTAAATACTTTGCTTTTATGTGTCTTACCTCTACTGTGATGTTTTCATTTGGACGTTGGTAAAGACTTGCTTCTGTTCAGAACTAATTATAGCAACTCTTCGGGTCATACAAGCTATTAATGTAAAATACTAGCAGAAAGGGGAAAAGCTGCATCTAAGTTAGAGTCTTGTGAAGTAGATCTGGATTGCCAAACTGTGCAGATAAATGTCCACAACCAACTGGAAATCTGTTGAATCTCATCACTGGTTGGAAGTGGTGCAGCTCGTAGTGGAGTTGGCTTTGCTATAGTGAACTTCAGCGGTGGTGTATTTGCTTAATGTGCTCCCAGTCCTCTTTGTCCTCCTGTTTCCTGTAACCGCAACAGTACTCACTGTTAATCAGCCTCTTGAGGATATCACTGGCACAAACATTTCAGGGGTATTTGGTACTCTCTGAAAGGGCCTGAAAGTTGCTGCTTTCTCTTCAGCTGTTGGCTCCTCGTCTGGAGAATTTAGCTTAATGAAAGTTATCCATGAGGGAGATGAAACAAAGGCAGGCTAACATGAAACATGAGTCTTCTAAAAGATTTTTCACAAAGAGATCTCAAACCAAGAATAGGAAGTGGAAACAGTGAAGACTGGAGGAGATAAGGTCTTGGGGAAATAATGTTAAACTGTGTTAGACACAATTCTTGTTGGTAGGTCAGATGGACACGTGAACAAGCAGTACTTTCACGTATGGCCTCGGGTATCTCGTATTCCGCTGCTTTGCCTTTTGGGAGTCATCCCTCCCTGCCGCTTTAAAGATCACTCTTGCAAGAGGCTGGCTATTGCTATGTCTGTTTACTATGCCTTCTGCTTTGCTGGCTTATTCATAGACAGATCTTATCTCCCTAGCAGCATATTTGGAAGAGCTTGGCCAACAGGCTATCTTAATGTTTGTCTGAGATAGGAGGGTGTCTGTAAACCATTTTCAGAGATGTAGAATGGAAGCACAGAGAAAAACAGCTCTTGCGAGGAGTCTGGCAAAGCAAGGAGCGAAAGGCATATCTCATGCGTTTCAGTATCGCAGCAGCAAAAACTGTTAAGCTCTAACTAGAACATTATAGCTTCTTTAACTTATTACGTCTTCAAACTTTCTGCTTCATAATACCTGTAGTTTAATAACTTTTCGATATGATTTTTGTACCAGATTATCTCAAAGTTAAGATTGTATTACTAAGATCACTAATTAACAGTAGTGTTGGATGTAATGATGACAATCCTCTTTATGCCATTTCCCAGATGTAGTGGCACCGCAGGGAAGCACCAAGCTGCTAGCCATCAAGGCACCAGCTGAATTTCCTAAAATGTTGTCTTCTAGCTCTCTCCGGGTATCTGCAAACAAAGGTGAGAGCAGATCTAGTCCTAACCTTGAGGAAACTTCAGAACGTTCTGTTGAAGACATGAGAGTGTTCATGTCAAAAAAAACTGTGGTCGCATTTCCTCAGCGAGTAGTTGTTTCTTCCCTTGGAGAGGAAAACCTCACTACACCTGCATCAGAAGGAGACTTGAGGAAAGAGTTAGTTGAGGAAGAAACTTCGTCTTCATCCAGCTCAGATTCTAGTTCAGATTCTGAGGAAGAAAATGAGGATGATGGTTCAGAAGTTGCCATTAAAACCAAGGTTGAGTTTCCTAGACGAGATTCCATCTTTTCTGAGAACATAGCGGTAAAGGCATCAATATTAGCAAAAGAGAACATACCTCAGAAATCCCACAAAGAATATGTAACTAAGAAGAAGCCCCACAAAACAGAAACCAGTGTATCTCCTATCAAGCAGGTAGCATCTGCTAAAACGTCAGTCAGCCATGAAACATCAAAGTCGAAAGCGAGAGACCCCAAAGTGAAATCGGCTCGTAAGGCAGCAGATCAGCCGAAGCTGGTCTTAGAACCACACGTGGGTGAAAGCCAAGACCTGTCTGGTGGTGCTTGTAAATCTGATTATTTAGAGGAAAAGGCCATTGGAACCCAAGTAGCAGCTATTCGGCTGAAAGCTTCGTCAGTGACTCGGAAAGATAAAAAGCAAAAACTGGTATCCAGAGGAGAAAAAATGGTGAAGGAGGCACAGGAGTCGGAGGCAGAAGTAGGAACTTCTTCTAAGCCCGAGGAGACTTCTGAAAGCACAGTGTTGGCGATGGGTGCTGCAGCAAAGGAGGAGGCCATCCAGGAAGCAGGAGTCCAGGCTGGAGGAAGAAGCTCAACAGAGGGTACAACTTTAAATTATTTGAACTGTGTTGATTCATCTGGGTTAGGGTTTAACTTTTTTTAAAGCTTTTCCAAATCTTCTCTGTTCATGGTTCTCTGATCTTTATACTGATGGTAACTGTGTAGCAGTGACTTTCTGGAAGATAAATTCTTGCTCTTTGCTAATTGGTATAAGCGCTCAGTAATACTTAGTTTTCAGTTATGCCGTGAAAGGAAACGATCTTCATTTCATTGTATTTATAGTTTCATAAACCAGTTACTTATAAAATGAAAACAAGATTGTTTCCACTGTGAGCAAAATCATGGGGTTTATATGACAAAACTTGTTTTCCCTCTTCTCAGAAGGATTTGATAGCTGCCTTTCACTCGGGCCAAATTTGATGCCATCTGATCTTTGCTTAAAACCTGCTGTCTGTCTTGGTTTTTTAATCTTGCAGTGTTTCAGATTTCAGTAAACTTCAAGAAATCATAGTATAATGCCAGGAACAGGTATTGATTCTGAGATTGGTAGGTTGTGAGTGAGTAGTGTAGAGGTAGCACAGAGTTGACCTTATAACCCAGTTTTTGTAGTGATCCGTGGAGGCGATGGTGACATGTTTTAGGAAAGAGCATTGTGCATCATGTACTCGTATCCCTAGCTATACTTTCCTGTTCAACCTACCCTTCTTATTTACTACCAGTCCTGTTAACTTACCTACTGATCTCATTCTGTCTATTTCAATAGCAAATGCCCCTCTGTCCTCGTCTGTGGTGGCTTCCCATTCTTGCCTTTCAGCTGAGGCAGCATACCGTTCTTAGGTTCCCCCCACTTCTGGTTGCTGCTTTGAATGAAAGAATTTGCCTACTTGGAAGGAAAAGCAGCATGATTGTAAAGCTGCTTGGATATCACCCTTGAAGTGATACCCCTCTGGAAAAGGCCCTGGGGGTCCAGGTGGGCAGCCAGCCCGCATGAGCCAGCAATGTGCCCTTGCAGCCAAGATACCAGTGGTGACCTGGGCTGCATTAGGAGTGTTGCGAGCAGGCGGAGGGAGGTGATTCTGCCCTGGTGAGATGCATCTGGAGTGCTGTGCCCGGTTCTGGGCTCCCCAGTGTAAGAGAGGTGTGGAGCTACGGGAGAGGGTCCAGCAAAGTCCCATTAAGATGAAGAAGAGACTGGAGAGTGTCTCCTGTGCAGGAAGACAGAGAGCTGGGACTGTTCAGCCTGGAGAAGAGAAGGGTTGGGGGAAATCATCAATGTATGAGGTATCAATACCTGAAGGGAGAATGCAAAGATGACAGAGCTGAGACTCTCTTCTGTGGTACTCAGTGACAGGACAAGAGGCAGCAGGTGCAAACTGAAATGCAGGGTGTTGCCTGAACATCAAGAAACATGCTTTTTATTGGGGTTTTGGGGGTTTTGTTGGTTGTTTTTTTAACTGTGAGGGTGACCAAGCACTGACACAGGTTGCCCAGCAAGGTGGTGGAGTCTTCCTCCTTGAAAACACTCAGAAGCTGTCTGGCTGTGGTCCTGGGCAGCTGGCTCTAGGTCTAGGTGACCCTGCTTGAGCATTTGGGCTTGGACCAGCTGACCTTCAGAAGTGTCTTCCAACCTCAGCCATTCTGTGAAATGTCTAATAACCAGGTTAAGTGACAAATAATTGCTTTTCTGTATTGGTTTCCAGGATACAGTGCTGAGTAAAAGACCTGCCTTCTGTTTCAAGGGGTTAGTTGGATCATAATTTGATCTAAAAGTTGGAAACTAAGCTTACCTTCTTCCCTGACTGCAACTTAGATGGTAAAATGCAGCACTGTTTGCAAGTGACATTTTCATTTGCTTGTTCCTTCTTGCAGTCAGCAGCAGAAACTTACTTTAAAAAAAAAGGGAAAAAAAGGAAAAGCTATTTGTGTTTTTCTACAGATGATGCTTTTCTCCCCATTCATCCACAGTGGAGTTCTAGATGCTCAAGCATTTTTTCTTTTTCCACACTGAAGCTGATACGAAGACCCAAAAAATCAGTTCAGTTAACCTCAAGTATGAGAGGGCCTTAAAACATGCTAGTGATTCAAGGTGAAGAGATTACAACACATCAAAGGTCTATGAAACGGCCTCCTCTACTCTGACGCTGTAAATCCAGAGTAAGGTTAAGCCCATGTGACAGGCTTTCCCTGCAGATCTGTGTCGAAGGGGCAGAGTGCCACTGTGCCTCAAACCCACCCTCCTCGTAACCACACCAGCAAAACCCTTTTGGGTAGGACCTGGCTTTGCTGAAAACATCCCTTCAGCTGTCGAGCTGCTCTTGCTCTGTGGAGGCGGTAAGGCTGCGACAGCAGGGTGGTTTCTGTTGGGTACGTGCTAGAGGACGCTGTTGCAGTGGCTGTAGGAGAGGCGGGGGCTAGTTCGGGCAAGTTCTCACGGCTTTACTGCTGGTGTAACGTCTTTGGGTGCTAGAGGGTGGCAGAGAGTCAAACCCAGCTACACCATGTTCAACAGCATTACTGGTATCTCCAGGTGCGTCTTATTTTCTCTTCCTTTTGAGGCCCTGAGAACAGCTACTGCTTTTCCATGTTTAATGTTCACAGTTAATGATACCTTCTGTAATCCGTGCTTCCTGTTCTTGTGTTCATCTGGGAACTGCAGCAGGCACGCTGAAGATGTGAAAGCAGTTTTCCCCATTACAAACCTGGATGTTAGGGTGATGTCATCCACTTCGTAGAGCAGGCACACTAAGCAGTCAGCAAAAACTGCTGACTTTAACTGCTGAGTGAGTAGCAATATAGTAGCATGGTAACTCAAATATACCTCTGATTCATTTCAGAATAACATCCTGTGAAATGCTGGCTCTTTAGGAGAGAAAGCATAGATGAAGACTGAAGTATGGGGAGGATGAACTTGGGGATAAATTTTTCCTTTGAGAAGCCAAGTACAGTGTATTTGGGCAGGAAAAATTAGATTCCATCTGCTTTTCTTCCTGAGCATCTGCCTCTTAATTTGGAACAACTGTGTCTTGCAGGTTGCACGTACATTTGCCTACACTTGCATGTTCTTGGGGCTGTTTGCAGCCGAGACCATGTCATCTGGCTTTTGTATCTGTGGTGTTGTCTCCTGTGACTGTCCCAGTCGGAACCGAGCAGTAGGTCCAGGGGTATTTCCTTTCATAGACTGTGTGTGTTACTTTGCTGAAACCCTGGCTTAGTACATTGCTTTTTATAAGCAGGTCTTTCTAAACGTTATGGGTGCATGCATCTCTTAAACTGATAGCGCTGCAATAATTATGTCGTAACTAAAGGTAAATTCTGGTGTTCAGTTGCTTGAGTTCTTGTATTTTTATTGTAGATGGCTGTAGTACAACAAGCAGCTTAATTCGGTCTAACCTAAACCACTACACACAAATTTATATGACAGAGATTTTCCCTAGATTATGCTTATGTCTTTCCTATTGTTAAAACTCTGGGTGTATGGGAATAAATTAATACTGGGAGTAAAGTTTTATTTCTCGCAATTTCCTTGGTTGTAAAATCAGCCTGTAACAGGAACCTTTTATGTAAATGGTACTGCCTAAATTTGCATAATATTCTAAAAGTGTGAGAATTAGTGTTGGCTTTAATGCAAAGTAAGGAGTGCTGAGTAACTGTATTAGGCTATTGTTGTAGGAAGAAGAGCTGATACAAAGCCTAGAAGATTATATATTATATAAGAACGGAAACTTACATCAGAGGCTCTTGATATATTACTGTTTGGTTGGAAATTAAACTGTGGAGATCTCAATAATTCCATCACTTCTCCCCATGGAAAAAATTCAATCTGTAAATAGTTTTAATAGCCGTATCTCGTGGTCTGACATGGTGATACATCATTTGTACTGCTTCTTTGCCTCCCCTGCCTTGCTAAGAATGTCACCTGCTGTTCTGACTGGGGTGAAAACCAAGGCAACTAAGAAAAAGCCAGGAAATGCAGACATAATGTCTTCAAAATACAGATTAAATGTTCTGCCCTGTCCACCCCCAGCATTAGGCAGTAGTTTGGATTTTAAAACCTGTGCTGTATTAGATGACCTGTACTGATTCCTGTTCCCCTACTGCATACTGATGTGCTGCTTCAGGACCAGACAAGGTAGCAGCAGAACTTAGTGAACTTACCCTTTTCTTACAGATGCTGCCTTTTTTTTTTTTTTTTTTTCTTTAATGTTGACTGGAGAGGGATCTGACAGTATATGAAGGCTGGCTCAGTAATGAAGAATATTGCCCTCTGGGGTAGCATCCTTGTAGTCATCAGTTACTGTTTGTTTTCACAGAGACCACAGCAGCTGCCGAGCCTGCTCCAGAAGAATTTGATAATTCTACCTACAAGAACCTTCAGCATCACGAATACAACACTTACACCTTCTTTGATTCTGTTGCGACTCTCTCAAAATTCAGGCAGCCTCAGCCATCTTCTGGCAGACCATCACCAAGGCACTGAAAGAACTGCATTTCAAACAAATGCCCAGGCAGAATGATAAATCGTTCTGTTTAGCACTGTTGCTTCATCTGTATTACAAATCAGATAATAAACAAATGCGTGATAACTTGTGCTTGTGCTTTTGAACAGATCTCCTTGGTTCCTGGAGTCCTTTGCTTCTTGGCTTTTATGAATGAGCTGCAAATGAATCATCACTGAATAAAAATAGCTTTTCTACCTCTCGGTATACATTATTTGGTGATAGTGTAAAAAAAGATCCTGACTTTCAGTGTCCTCAAACTTTTGTAAGTGACCATTCTTGCAGCACGGTGTCAGAGGATGTCTTGGCCTTCGTGCACGCGCCCGCTCAGCGCGTGCCGTGGTTTTAATAGCTACTGTTAACCGCTAATGCAGCGGGCGGCTCTCCTTGCACGCAGATGCGTTCCCAGCTCTGAAGAGGTTATGTTTACTCGGGATTTGAACTTCAAAATCATTAGCTGGAAGCAGCCGAAGAAGTATGTCTCCCGTGGCAAGAGTGCGTGTCTTGCATTAGTAGAGGAATGCACATTTATGTCATGTGACTGAAACATCTCGCAACCTCTGCTGTTGTAAAGGGAGCACATACAACCTCATTTAATCTTCTTTTGGGGGTTCTCGCATCCAAGTTCTGCGGTAATTGAAACAATCCAAAAATGTAAGAAACCCTCAGTGGGCAGATCCTGATGAACTACACTACATTGATTACACTTTGAGAAATAATGTATTTCTGTGGGTAGCATCACTTGAATGTTATTTTTAAATGAAAATAGCATTATGGTAAAACCAGCTCCTGGTACTGATTGTTCAGTGGGACTGTGTTTCAATTCTACTTTCTTCTTTTTTTCTCCCCCACAGTAAAAGTTAAGATTGCTGATTGCTGTCCAGCTTCACTCTTGGCTCTGGAGAAAATGTGAGACATGGGGCACTTCTCAATATACGTTATCAGCAGTTACAGTTGGTCTCAGTAAATTTTGTGTTTCCATCCTATTAGTAACAGTCGTCTGCCCTCTGGGAGAACTGCCTTGATGACCACCAGCTGTTGTGGGTTCAGTTCCATTTTGGCCTCTTGTTCATTTTAGGTTTTTTTGGAGTTAATTGGTCTTTGAGCAGTTAACTTGCAATAGCTCCAGCGTTTTCCATCACCTGTCTGTATTCTTTCAAGCAACAGAATATGCAAGATCAAAGGGAAAACAGAGTCAGCTTTAGGAGTCTATCTGGGTATTGGATGTAAATCCCTGGGTGCAATTAGTAGAACAGATATTTTATACTGTAACTTGGCAAAAATGTGGTAAGAGGGATCAAGAGGCCTACATCAATCTGCTGTGTAGAATTTTAAGTCAGAAACCTGGCAAGCAATTTTATTGTCCTGTAAAAACTAAAAAAGCGTATTACTGGCTCTTAACTATGAAATTTAAAAATCAGCAAATGTATAAATCCATGTCCTTAGGAATCAAGAGCAGAAAGTCACTTTGAGACACCAGCGGTACCATGTATGCTGTACTTGTAAAAGAGAGATGTTTGCTGTTAACATTAAAAACATGAAATAACAAGGAAAAGGGTCTTCCCTTGTTACGGGCCCACCGGAGGGCCCCAGTAAATCTGCTGTGTTTTGTTATTAACTGAGGCTCTGCGTGGTAACCTGAACTCGGTAAATCTGTGCCGGTGCTGAGCTGCGTTCCCAGCTATTTGTTGTGTGATTACAGGAGGAGGCTGCACATCGCTGCGTAGAATCTAAATGGCGAAAGTTAAATGTAGTCCATTAACGTGCCTATGTATTTACTAACTCTACCCGCAGTAGCTGTGACTGTTAGCTGTTTGGAGTCAGACTGGCTCACCTAGTGCCCTTTATATTTTGAAGGAGGGTTGGTGTTACAAACGCTGACTTAATCAGCTAAGGAGGAGAGGGTTGAAACACAAATGTGTCTCGCTTTTGGTCAACTCCTACGCTCTCATTTCTGCATTTCTAGCTAAGGAGATTCTAATCTGTATTTGGGCTAGGCATTTTGCTACCCTTCTTTCACGATTACAGCAGAAATTAATGGTGAATGCCCTTCCTATCTGTGTAATCCTGTCTCAGTGTCTTCCGGTGATCTTTTCTGCACCTCTAAAATCAAGCTGGAATGAAGCAGCGACGTAACTTTTCTGGCACATGCGGCATGTCTCTCGCATTTGTTCTGTGCCGTAAACTGTTCTGCCCCGGGAAGGGCAGATAATGCGAGGAAGGGCACTAAGACTTTTTCCCACTGTTGTGTTTTCCTGAGCTTCAATGAAAAAGGCTTCATTTTTTTTCTTTGTACTTAGCTATTATCAGATGTTATTGTGTTTGAGTCATATGCTAGCATTTAAATTTCAGGCAGGATGTGATAACAATATGCTCAAATTCTATAATGTACTAACTTGGTTTGCTGTGCTGTGTTAGGCACTTGTCAGATACAGTTTTAAAGAATGTATAATCCAGGATATTAACATAATACCTGGAAAACCTCAAATGTGAAAGAATTAGCTTAGTTTTTGTGAAAAGCAGCTCTTCAGAAAGAGCATAAACTTCAGAAATGGGGTTTTCAATGTAAATAGTGTGTTACTGTGGGAGTACATGACAGTCTGGGAAGTGGAATTCACTACTCATTAAAAAGACGAAGCAACTTTTTGTCAAAGGGAGTGGATTTCAAATTTCAGGTCCTTTGCATTTTTAATTTTTTTTTTTTAGTGTAGGAAACTGCTCATCAAAATTGCTTTTCAGAACTTCTTCCAGTGTGGTCCTTCAGAAGTAATTTAGGAGCCCAGAAGGTTCTGGACAGCAGTCGAAAACTCGCTAATCCAAGATCCAGAAGTAGCAACACGAGCAGAGTTTGTAGTGGTCACTTCAGTTATTACAACATTAAGATTTTTTTTGGTCCTTCTGGTACTTCCTTTGGCACCCCGTCATGATACGCACTGCGATCCGTAGGGCTACCTTCCAGGTTTATTTTTAATTTGGGAAATAAGACTTTTGACTCTGTGCACTTAACAGATCTTCCACAGTATGTCCCTGGCTTTCAAGAATCACAGCACATTCAGTGCATCTCGCTGGTTTCCTGTAAAGTTATAAGCCATAAAAACCTGCCCTGAGTCTTTTCTCCCACCACAAGAGATGCCGTCATCTAAGCTACTTGTACAGTTATGTTGAGTCTGCTCTTCACATAACGCAGGAGTGGTGAGAAGTTCTAAGGCTGCCTCAGGATGACGTGCAGTTCTTCCTTCGGCTACTCACTGTAATGAGAACGTGAGCTGAGAACAGTCAGAATCCCACAGGTCATAAAGTGCTCTGGTGAGACTTTGTGACCTCGTGTCGTTTGGGGGGGAAGAGTAGGAGAAGCTGGTGAGAGCAGCTGCTTGTCTGTTCCAAACTCCTGGGGGTTCCGATCAGTGACCATTGTGCAGTGAGTGAGTGGAAAGCGTGCTCACAGCACCCTGTAGCATCACATTAGCATCATGGAAATTGAGGTTGGAAGGGAAGCCTTGAGGTGATCCGTCCTCTGCTCTGTAGCACGTGCTATCAGATCAGGTTGGCCTGGACCTTGCTCAGTTGAGTTTTGAGTATCTTCAAGGGTGGAGATCCTACAGTCTCTCTGGTCACCTCCTCCAGCATCTGAACACCCTAATGATTTAAAAAAACAAACTAACAACCCAGCAAGAAAAATCTTTACTTGTTATCTAACTGGAATTTTTGGTTTTCTGACACTGATCCTTGCTACTTGCCTCTGACAAGCCTGGCTTTTCAGGGAAAAACTGCCTCCAAGGAGGCAGTTGAAGGTAGTAATAAGGTCCCCTTTATTCTCTTCTTCAGACCAGACAACCTCTGTTCTTCAGGTTCGTCTTGTGCAATGCGCTCCAGGCCTGTTGGCATCTCCGCATGGTCACAGTGCACCCTTGGCTCATCCCACTGTTCTGTGCCAATGCAGGCCGCCTGAGCAGGCTCTGTCTTCCTGCCCATAGCTTGTCCTTCAAGGCGTAACATGCTAGAAGGGGGCCTGTGTTAGTTTTCCTAAATTTTAGTGTAGAATCCTCCGTAGCGAATAGGAAGGGACGTGGGAGATGCCCGTTCCCCAAGATGCTACGCAGTGACAGTAGGGCAGGGTAGGTTCAGGTCCCCACTGTGTCCTGCTGTAAAAGAAACAAAACAACCTTGGAATCATTCTTGGCGCAAGTATTTGCTGTCTGCCTGTGATTTACGCCCTCCTATGCTATTCTGTATTGTGTACTGTTGTTTCCATACGGAGTTAGACAAAGGAGCTAACACAATAAGGGTAACGTAGGCACTTCAGTACAGGCCCTGTGAACGCTGGAGCGATTGACTATACAACCATGACGTTCTTGTATTGTGGCTTTGTTGGTTGATATGTTTGAATTTTATCCTTTGACAGAAACTCCTCTAAACTCTGGATGATTTTTAATTAAACTCTTAGGACACTGAACAAAATACCCCATCAGGTTTTCCAATCTTCCTTCTCCTCTCATGTGGTTCTATTTCATGAAATTACAAATAATTATTTATCTTCCCTATGATTCTATGGCTTTGGTGCCTAGTGTTCATCTCAGGATGATATCACTCCAAATACAATCTGCAGCTATTTTTAAGCTCCCCCCACCCCCTTTTTTTTTTGCCTACACATATTCAATTACATTTGGAAATTCATACCCACCTCTGAAAGTCTTGGGGTATGTGGCAGTTTTGGGATAGAAAAGACTGTTAATGCGCAGTTAAGGACATGAGTTTAAGTATGTGTGTTTATGATAACAAAGTATGCCACAAACTTTGGGTCAGTGTATGGGGTGAGCAGGTCAGCTCCCAAAACTGCTGTGGTCTCAATATTAACTGCAAAACAGATTAACAGGGACATGGTTCGGTAAATTAGCCTCACGGAGTACAGCCTATATGCATGTTAACTCCTAATACTCACAGATCCCGTGCCATGTATCTGGGTTAAAATTAATGCCTGAAA